GATACTTAACAAAGGTTCTCATTCACCTTGTTCGTATGGATTTGGAGTGTGCAGATGCCTCTATCCTTGATAAAAAAATTGAGCCCATTTGGTCGAGCCCTAATGGAGATATTCAAACTTTTTTTCCTTGTCTTGTTACTTATGGGACACCCTGTATATATACCGACCTAGAGCATTAAAAGCTCTCTATTCTTATGTTGACATACATAGGTAAGGTATGTGAAGTAGTATGAAAAGAAGAATAATTATTCGGACGAATGCAGTTGAACGAGTTCATTATCAAACTTGAATTAACAAGTGATTTATGAAGAAATAATTTTTGCCAAAAAAAAAAGAAGTAATTGAGACCTATGAATGCATAGTATGTGATAAAAAAAAGAACATATTTAATATGTTCAGATATCGGTATATGAAAAAGAAAAGACAAAAAGTCAATATTTGTTTCATGATCATATTACATGTTGATAGAATAACTTCAATGATCGTTGAATGTGATCGATCATCATCATTCATGATGAACTTTTCTAGAAAATGTTATCATGGTTTATGTTTCTCATTTGTTTTTTTTTTCAATTATGTATAAAAGTCTCATCTATCTTTACTTTCTATATATGGGGATATGTTGCACATAATTGAACTCAAATATGAATGTAATTCGATTGCTAAACCTATGATGATGCAGTATCATTCAATCTAATATAAAAAAAGAGTGTAATTTCCGTTCATTTTACTAGAATATTCGATATAATCTATGTTAATCGTCTTCATCCATCGATCATATTCAATATTGTTCATACAAATAATTTAATTAGTAAAGATCGTTTGTTATTTTTATTGAATGATGAGAAATGGAGATTTTTCTCTTCTTTATGTTCTCTCTATCAGAGAACTATCATGAATAGTTTAGGTTTCCGTTGTTTGTGTTATTTTTTTTTTTGTCTTCTTTACAGTCATCTCTCTTCTAATTAGAGAGAAGATCGATTCGTTTTGCTTGTTCATTCATTCTGCTTCATACAACATACAAGAGAGAAAGAAGTGACAGAAAGAGCAAAAAGAAAAGAAAGAAAAGCGTTTCTCTCCCTTCTTGTTTTCTTGCTTCTAAAATGGATTGATTTGAAACGAAACAAGCAATTTATGCGTAAGAAAAGAGAATATACTAGTGAAAAAACGAGGTCTATGACTCATTTACTTTTAAAAAAAATAACAAAATCATATCACGAACAGATGTATATGTTTATTTGTTTTTTCTAGTGACATATATATATAGTTTATAGTGTAATTAAATTATTAATAAATGTCATCTGAACATGGATTACATGTTATGTTAAGTTATCATTGGGATAATAAAGAATTAGTTTCAAAAATTTATAAAGTACTTAAATCAAAAAATATTCCTGTATGGATGGATATTCATGGTGGAATTAGTTTTAATCTTTTTCATAGGTATGTTTTATTGTTTTTCTTTTTTTTCTAAATTTAAAATTAAATTGAATTCTATTCTTGAATATTAGTATGGCAGATGGAATTGAAAATGCTGCTGTTGTTTGTTGTTTTATGACACCAAAATATCAAACTTCACGTAATTGTGAAAAAGAATTATTATATGCTGATAGACGACGTGTTCCAATAATTCCATGTCGTTTGACACGTGATTGGGAACCATCAACATGGCTTGGATTAATTATTGCTGGACTTGTATGGATCGATTTTCGGGATACAACTGATATAAATATTGATCTTAAGATTGATAAATTAATAGAACAAATTCGAATTGTTGCAGGAAAAAAACTCAATTGTTTTCAAATAGGTTTTATTTAAATCTCTAAAATTGTATATATATATATATGAATGATTTATTTTTTTAATAGAAACTTCTTATGTTTTACAAACTTGTCTAATTTATTCCAGTAATTCTTCAAATAATTTTTATCCTGTTCTACCACAAACAAATGATATATCTGATTCATTGAAACGATCAACGTCAATAATATCTCATCAACATCCAAATGTTAATAATATAAATATAGTACCACCACCAGTACCTCCACGTCCAAATAAAGATTTAATTCGAGAACGATTATTCTCGGTTGATATAAAGAAAAATCTCAATGAAATTGAATTTATCGATAAAAAAAAAGAGAATAAGTATGCTGACTATTTAACATATATATATGTATATAAGTAAAAATTGTTTTTTTTTTTCATTTAGTATACCATTGAACAGTGAAAAACCAGATATACGTGAAATTTCACATTCACAACAAGCACATACACGTTTGATACCTGTAAGAAAATTTTCTTATTATAATAATGAAAAAAAACGTAATGGCATAAAAATTGATTATTCAAAATTTCATCGTTCACCTCGTATTATTGGAGATGATAATGAGAAAATTTCATTTTGTTGTCCATCAGGTGTTGCACTTTCAAAAACAGGTCTTATCTATGTTGCTGATCAACAAAATCAATGTATTAAAGTAATTCCATTGTTAGGAAGTGAAAAACAAATTTTATCACGTCCATTTAATCGACCAAAAGGTGTACATGTTGATGAACATGGTCGTATACTTGTAACAGAACATAATCGTTTACTTATACTTGATAGTGAACTTAATCTACTTAAATCTATTGGAGATCATGGTTCAAAACCAGGTGAATTTAATGTACCATGGGGTAAGATAAATTTGTAAAACAAAAAAAAAAATTCAGAAGATAAATCATTGTTATTGATTAGGAATTACAACAGATTCATTATCAAATATGTATATATGTGATCAAATGAATAATCGAATACAAAAATTTGATGCTGATGGTCGTTTTTTACTAGAATGGGGTCATGAAGGTGAAGATGCAGGTCAATTTTATTATCCACATTTTATTTCTATATCAGGTAATCATGTTGCTGTATCTGATCAACTTAATCATCGTATACAAGTATTTGATTGTTTTGGAAATTATCATTATAAATTAGGTGAAATTGGTAATGAACCAGGTCAATTTAGTTGTCCATTTGGAGTATGTATCGATGCTAATGATCATTTAATTGTTGCCGATCATGATAATAATCGTGTACAATTTTTTGATGAAAATGGTGAAATTAAACTTATATTAGATGAAAAAGTAAATCCTTTATTTAATTTTCAAGGTGTTCATGGTTTAGCATTGACTTATGATGGTGGACTTCTTATTACTGATTATAAACGAGATGGAAAACATCGTTTATTTATTTTTGCTTAATTTTTTTTTTCGTTGATGCTGTTTTTTTTTTAACAGATTGTGCAATACAATTTGAATATTCTGTTTTGTTTGTCAGTGATTTTTTTAAAAAAATACTATTAGATTTTATTCATTAAAACAGATATTTGAGTGTAAAAAGATAAATGGTTGATAGATGTTAATCGTAAACGAAAAGAAGAATACTACATAGATTGTTTCATGTTTACTTTCGCAAGTAAAATTTTATTCATGAAGATGATGAAATCGAAATATTGAATGCATTTTGACCTGTTTTGAATGAAATATTTTAAAAACATAATTTATAAACTTTTTGTTAATTCATCATTGCAGAAAATATTAAGTGAAACAATATAGAGCGTGTTCTTAATCAACTCTAGTGTTCATAGAAATAATGAAACGAAAGTTTTTTTTATCATAATCTTCCCTAGTGCATGCAATCAGTGTAATAACAACTAAAAATTATTTACAATAAATGAAAACATAATAATGTTGAAATTTTTTAGTTGATCTTGTTTATTTGAAGATCTTCTAGAGAGAAAAAAAAAAGAAGTTTTTTGTGTTATCGAAATCCTTTTTAAAGAAAGGTTTCGGCAGTCACTTTTCTGACTGCATAGAATTGAGTCATTCATGATGTTTATCATATGTAGATAATTCTTCAACATAGTTACAACATGTCATTTTTTTAAACGTCATTAAGTATATATTGTTAAATCTACATTGTGTCTTGTGTTTTTTTGTATTCTACACTGTAGAAAATGATTACATTTTTGTTGCCTAGCAAACTGATAAAAAAAAACACTGCAATAAGTGGCATTTAGGGTGTGAATGTGTCGAAAAAAAAATAATCATCTCTGCGCGCACTTGTAAACTTTTTATATGACTACTCAGATAACGAATTCGAACTTATAATTTTTATAAAACACTTTATCTTTCGTTTTTTCTTAAGAATGACTATATTTTTAGTATTTATATCAGTTGATTGAAACTTTATTATAGAACGACTATCTATTGTTTACCATTTTAGACACAATTTTTCTATCAGATCTAATGAAGTGTTTTACATTGCAATTGCTTCTAGACTGTACAGGCTTACCATAGACGTTTTTTTATGTGATTGTGTAAATGCATATTTGATACATATAAAAGTCTACATTTTCTATAGCAAAAATAAATGCGAAAACCTCGGGTTTAAATCCGAGTGTTATGTGTACTTCAAAAAGTGAACAAGTATATTCACTTTGTTTTTTATCATCTGAGACATATCGAGACTATTTCATTTCTTCACGCAGTTTTTATGCATTTTTAGACCGTTTTCAGGCGATGTTTTGTTAGAAAGCTACAATTTGGTTCCAAACTAATATCAGATTCGAAATCAGGGTTAAAAACTGAGTCGATTTATATATGTTGTGAATAATTCTGAGAAAAAATTTTTTTTTTGAAAAAAATCCCTGTACCCCGCCCCCTCAGGGATGGCCTTCTCAATAATGACAATTTTTTCGATAACTCAGCTATTTCTTGACGGATCCTTCTCATCTTCGAACTCGACCGAGACATTATTAAGACTGAACTGTGTAGAAAATTTCATCGCGATTGGACTCCTTTCAAAAGTTATCGTGTAAACGGCCGGACATTCTAACCGATTCTAGAGTGTACTCACTTTTTGAGTACACAAAAAGAAGAAAATACATGAAGGATGTGGATATGATTTCTTGCACACTCACATTCATGTCGTCGGACTAAAATTAACCATGACAGTGACCTTTTAAATGAGCGATGAGACGAAAATATATATATCAACATGATTTAGATAATGTAATCATGAGAGAAAGACTATTTCTAAATGATAATCCTATTACATGTAAACCATTGTAGAGAAGTTTGATGCTTGTGATCAGGATTTATTGTCACGCAAATTCATAGTAGCGTTTCATGAAGGGCGACTGCTACTTTTGTGCAGGATACTATCCGCACTAATGTTTTTTAACCACGATTGAAAATGTTCAGCTTCTGTTTTAACAGAGCAAATTATATAAGATATTTATTAACAGTTAATATTTTTTTGATGTTATCTTTAGTTGATTAATATGTGCAATTACATAAAAATAATGAATATAAAGTTTGTTTACTATTTTCAAGTTGTTTTTTTGTAAAAGCTAAAACAATTCTTTTTTTTTTCTCTTGATATATAACATGATGATGTATTATGACTATTAAGAATATTTTGGATTAAAAGTATCAATGATGAAAAATATACGTGTATAATAATTGTTATGTACCAGAGACAACTAAAGAACCTGAAAAGGCATTATTGAAACTTTAATATTACGAGAATATTCAATCATCTTTGATGATTTATTATTTTACAGTCTATAGATAATCACAATAAATACTAATGCATAAATCAATTGAATGAAAAATCTTTAAAAAAGTTTCGCTTTCATATTATTTTGACTATTACTATTAGTCCTGTTATTATACATTTCGTATGTATTTTTCAATTGTGAACTCCACTGTTCTAATTTATTATCATTAGTCTAATCATAGATTTAATAGGCAAATAAGTCTGTTGGATATATTCGTTTTATCTATAGTCAATATTAACGATCTATTATGTATGTAAATAAATTGAGAAAGACTGATATTGATCACTCTCGAAATTCACACATTTATGAGTTCATTCTTTTATGTTGATGATATGAAGATGATATTTCAACAAATATTTCAGCATCTTCTGAGTCCTATTATTAGTTTTGTGATTATGGATATACTTATTCATTTCCATATGAACATATTCACCTAACACTCGCACTCCACACAAAATTTTCTATGATTCAATATCAAAATGTAGTTTTTTGATTAAATTTAATTTGCATAACAAAACGTTGTAAAAATCAATCGTTTAATCTGCTTCATTCCTTACAAAAATTAGAAAGAGCAAATTGCATATATATTGTTTTTCCTTTAATCAAAAATAAATTTAAATTTTTATTGCCATCCGATTGGCATGTTCAGTAATCATAACTAAACATGAACAATAGAGATGAAAATTGATCTTTGTTTTTTTTTTTGTTAAAACAATAAAACTAATTGTTTTTTATCGTTGATTTTATACATAAAATCATATTTATCATCTAAAAACATTTTCGTCATAAAACGATCTATAGATTGAATAAATTCATTTGTAAATGTATGTGTAAATGTTGTAGTATTGATTTTTAATAATAACTTTTCTATATTTAAAAATTTGAATTGATATAAAATTTTTAATAGAGTCAATATTTCAGTTTGTCCATTTGTTATACATGTTAAATTTTTAATATTTTTTGATAATAGTGAAAAACAATTTGTTAATATATCTTCAGTAACTAAATTCAAATACAAATAAAGTATTAATGTTTGAATTGTGGATATTCTTGATATTAAATCTTGATGTTGTAAATAGATTTTGAAATTAATTTTCAATTCTAATAAATTAGGTATAAAATTCATGATATTAATAATAGCTGGTGATTGTAAATGATCAAAGTCATCAAATTTTAATGATTTTATTTTTGTTAAATCGATTGTATGACATAAATCATCAATAATTTTAGATGATTGATCAATATCATTTGATAAACGATTAATTAAAATTAATGATTCAACATTCGAATAATAACGTTGTCCATCATTTTTATTAACCATGGTTGTTGAATTCGATACTTGATTATATAATTGGATATATAAGTTTTGAACATTTTTTGTCGAATAATTGGGATCCATTCTTGTTATTGTTGAGAATGTTTCTATATTATATAGGATTGTATGAAAATATTTAATAGGCCATGGTAAGGAATAGAGAACAAATTTTATGTCAGCTTTTGGATTATAATCAATTGCAAAATACCAATGAGAATCAAAAAAAAATTTTGTTTCAAATTTTGATAATATTTGTTTCATATTGATTGTATATGATGGTAGTGTGGATAAAGTGATATCCAAATGAAAATGCTTTAATAATAAAAATGATTTTAAAAAATTTTCCCATTTTTGACCATCGCTATATTGGTATGACCAACAAGATATTGCTAAACGCTTTAATTGTTGAGATAATGGATGTAGTAATAATTGTAATTCATCAAAGTCTTTAAATGCAAACAAAAATATAGTTAGAATATGGTTATTTTTTTTTCGATTTGAAACTATTTTAAATGAGATCGTCAATATAATCAATAGTAAGAAGTTAAAACTAAAAATTTATCGAAAAAAAACGTCTAAATACAAAGATTTTGAGTTTCTCTTTTTCGTAGAACAGGTTAAATTATTCTTAGAAAACATTTTTTTGGGAGTAAACAACGGAATTTTGGACTGATTGAAGAAATTTTATCTTTTAATTTAAAGCAAATTTTTTAACCATTCACCTTTCTTATGGAATAAAGTTTCTTAAACTTAACTCACACGTAAGCTTTGTGGAGGCGGCTTCGTGATTGACATTAAATAAATGCGAAAACATCGGATTTAAATCCGAGTGTTATCTGTACTTCAAAAAGTGAACAAGTATATTCGCTGTGTTTTTTATCATCTGAGACATATCTAGACTATTTGCTTTCTCCATGCAGTTTTTGTGCATTTTTAGACCTTTTTCAGGCGATGTTTTGTTAGAAAGCTACAATTTGGTTCAAAACTAATATCAGATTCGGAATCACCGTTAAAAACTGAGTCGATTTATATATGTTGTGAATAATTCTGAGAAAAAAATTTTTTTTTTGAAAAAATCCCTGTACCCCCCCCCCCCCC